TCGAGGATTAGCTAATTATAATTTAAGAAAATATAATGAATCACTTTATGATTTAACAGAATCTTTAAAAATAGAACCAGATAATTCATTTACACTAAAGTCCAGAGGACAAACTTACTATATGTTAAACCGCTATAATGAATCTCTTGCTGATTTAAACAGATCAATTGAATTTGAGCCAACTAATGTAAATATATTAAACTCTCAAGAACAAACATATATACTAAAACACTACCAAGAGTATCTTGCATATTTAACTAAATCTTTAGAAACTAATTCAAATAAGACAGTTGTGCTAAGGTTTCGAGGAGTAGCATATTATATGTTAGAACATTATAATGAATCATATATAGATTTAACCAAATCATTGAAGCTTGAACCTAATAACGCAGATTCACTAAGATTTCTGGGTTATTCTTGCTTCAAGTTGAAAAAAAATAAAGAGTCTCTTAAAAACCTGACACAGTCATTAGAAATTGATTCTAACAACGCGGATACTCTGAGATTTCTAGGACAAATTTATTATGAGTTAAAAATGTACAAGGAATCGATTAAAAGTTTAAGCTCATTAGAAATTAGTTCAGAAAACCTTGATGTATTAAGAACTCGAGGATTAGCGTTTTATATGCTTGAAAAATACGAAAATTCTCTTAAAGATTTAACGAAAGCATTAAACCTAAACCAAAATAATGCATTCGTGCTAAGATCTCGAGGGCAAGTATATTATTATCTAAAGAATTACGACAAGTCTCTTGAAGACTTAACAATGTCATTAAAAATTGAGGAGGATAACGCATTTGCACTAAGGGCTCGGGGTCGAACTTATCATATGTTGCAGCGTTACGTAGAATCTCTCGAAGATTTAGATAATTCATTAGAAATTGATCCAAATAATTTAATTGCGATAAGATCTCGAGGACAAACATATTATAAGTTAAAACGCTATGAAGATTCTCTCGCAGATTTTTTTAAATTTCTAAATAATAATCCGAATGATGTAGAAACGTTAGGATATCGAGGACAGACTTACTATGCGCTAGAAAAATATGAAGAATCCCTTAGAGATTCAGTAAATTTATTGAAAATTAATGCAAATAATACTATTGCATTATTGGTTCAAGGAAAATCTTATTTCAAGTTAGGAAAGTATGAAGAATCTCTAAAAAGTTTAACAAGGTCATTAGATGCTGAACCAGAAAATGCTGATGCATTAAAAACTCGCGGGCAAACATATTATATGCTTAACGACTACATAAATTCAGTTAGAGATTTAAATAAAGCATTAAATATCGACCCGAATAATGCAGAGTCCCTAAGATGTCGAGGAATAGTTCATTATAGTTTAGGAAAATGTAACAAATCAATTGAAGTTTTAACAAGATCGCTTGAAGATTTAACAGAATCATTAAGGATAGAAGATAATAATGCATTTGCACTAAGATATCGAGGACAGACATACTACATGTTAAAACGCTACAATGAATCTCTTGCAGATTTAAATAGATCAATAAAGCTTGAGAAAGATAATGCAAATGCCCTAAGTTCTCGAGGACAAACATATTACATGCTAAATCAGTATGACGAATCCCTTGCAGATTTAAATAAATCTTTAAAAATTAATTCAAGTAGCGCAGTCGCATTAAGATCTCGAGGACAAACATTTTACGCTTTAGAACATTATGTTGAGTCTTATGAGGATTTAACTAAATCATTGAAACTTGAACCTAATAATGCAGATACACTAAGGTTTCTAGGTTATTCTTGCTTTAAATTGGAAAAATATGAAGAATCTCTTAAAAATTTAACCGAGTCATTAAAAATTGATTCTGTTAATGCGGTCACTCTGCGATTTTTGGGACTGACATACTACGAATTAAAAAGATATAATGAATCTCTTAAAAGTTTAAGCTCATTAGATATTAGCCCAGAAAATCATGACGCATTGAGAACTAGAGGACATGCATATTATATGCTTGGAAAATATGAAGATGCACTTAAAGATTTAACGAGAGCACTAAACTTTGATCAGCATAACGCATATACATTAAGATCTCGAGGGTTAGTATACTATTATTTAGAAAATTACGAAGAATCTCTTGATGACTTAAATATGTCATTAATATCTGAGAAAGATAACGCATTTGCACTAAAAGCTCGAGGGCAAACATATTATAAATTAAACCGCTATGAAGAATCTCTTGCAGATTTTTCTAAATTAATAAATGATAACCCAGATGATACAGTAGTTTTAGGATATCGAGGACAAACCTACTTTGAATTAAAAAAATACAAAGAATCCCTTGATGATTCGACACGCTCATTAAAAATTAATGCCAAAAATAATACTGCATTATTGGTTCAGGGAAAGTCCTATTTCAAGTTAGGAGAATACGAAGAATCTTTAAAAATCTTAACAAAATTATTAAACATTGAACCAAATAATTTTGATGCATTAAAAACTCGAGGACAAGTATATTATATGCTGGGAAAATATGAAACTTCGATTAAAGATTTAAATAAGGCATTAATTATTGACCAAAATAATGCAGAAACTTTAAGATGTAGAAGCTTAAATTATTATCATTTAGAAAAATATAACGAATCACTTCAAGATTTAACAGAATCATTAAGAATAGAGCCAGATAATTCATTTGCTCTAAGATCCCGGGGATTAACGTTCTATATGTTAAAACGTTATGATGAATCTCTTGATGATTTAAATAGATCAATAGAATTTGAACCAAATAATGCAAATGCCCTAAGTTCTCGGGGACAAACACATTACATGCTAAATAATTATAAAGAATCTCTTGCAGATTTGACTAAATCTTTGGAAATTAATTCAAATAATAAAGATACACTAAAATTTCGTATTAAAATTTATTGCAAGTTAAAAGACTACGAGAAAGCCTTGGTAGATATAGATAACTTGTTATCAATAGAATCCAAAAAAAAATTTTCACATAATACTAAAGAGTATAAATCTTCGTGTGAAAATTTAATCAAATCTTTAAAAATTGATTCAAATAGTATCAAAATACTAAAATCTATGATATCAAAAAAAACATAAAATTTGAAATTCTAAAACAGTTATAAAATAGAAATTATTTAGAAAGCAAGATTGTATAAAATTAACTATTTATCTAATTGATGAATCCGACATTAGTTAAATATATAATATAACATAGTATCTGCTGGAGCTAAATTATGCATATTGCAATGACCTGTTAGAATTATTATTTTAACAACAGTCACAATATGTATGTTGTTACGTCCCGAGGAGGGAAAACAATACGCGTGCGTAAGTAGGTTAGCTTCAGGTGTAGCAAAGTTATGCGGGATGGATGTTAATTAGTGGATTCAGATTTAATGACATCTGGCTATAATAGCTGTTTATTAAGGAAAGTGATTTGGTGCGTTATTAATTTATTTATTACGCGACAAAGGATCTTCTATTTTCTTTATTACTTTGAGTGTTGTATTTATACATTTTAACGTCGATGACTTGAGTTTAAACACTGCCACTTCATTACAAGAACACTAACAAATACAAGAAAATATATTCAATAAAATATTTATCAAAAATTTTCATAATAATGTAATAAAAACTTTTAATTTTAAATATATTTTTTAAAAACCTCGTGATTCAAGTGAATAATGACCTATTGGGTCATTTGAAAAATATACAGTATATTCCTGAAAATAAGCTACTTATTTAAAACAATTTTTGAATACAAAAAAATCAAGAGTAGCTTATTTTTGGGGGTTTCGAAAAATTTTTGCTCGACAACAAGCTTTGTAAAGGTTGAGAAAATCACCATCTAAGACATATCGTTAATGTAAAACGGAATATTTGATATCTTCTAGAATATAAATGATGTTATATCACTGGAGATGACTTACTATTAAGATTTAAAATTATTAGTGCGCATGAAGCCATAAGAACACAATTAAATGCTACTATATCCAGTGCAAATAAAACTGTAAAAAGTAAATGTGCGTAAACGCTCGTATTGGATTTTGGAGATGATTATCACACATGATTTCAATGTTAAATAAAGAGTAACTTTTTTTTAAAGATCGTAGAAAAGCAAACGTTAGTTAATAATGCAATGTAACATCGGTACCATAATTTATTTAAAATAGGCTTTTTAACCATTTTTGAAATTTCATTTTCATGTGAGTTGTTTTGAGATCAATAATACGCTTAAGTAGTTTCGGGATGGACTCTGAATTCAGAGAATTCCGAATTCACTTACAATGTATATATGAGCATATTTTATAATTTTTTTATATGAATAGTAAATTCTATATGCGTATTCATTTATGTAATAAATCTAATTGAACGTCCTAATTTATTGTCGCGGCTGAAGCTGGAAACGACTGATGCTGGAAATTAGGGGCCTTAATTTAAAAATAAAAACACTACCAAAATCTACTTATACTCTTTTATTATTAAAACTACCACTAAACCCTAACCCAACCCTAAAAAAACCCCACTAACAAAAGGCCCCAAAAAATTTTGAAAATTTCATATTAAAATAATTAAAATTTCCAGCATCAGCCGCGACATTTATTCAAGCAATTGTAACAATCAAAATAGGAAAATAATCGAGAAATAAAAAAGGAAAAAGAAAAATAACCAGAAAAGAATGAGAAAAGGAAAATGCAAGTTAATGTAAGATCAATGAATTGCCTAATAAGGGCAGTAAATGGTTTTCCAATGATTTTGAATGCAATGTTTTATTCTAAATTAAGAAAACAGTTCATTTCACGCACGTACGAACTTTTCGTTTCAAACGTATACATACGTACACTATTAAGTCGGTAATCAAATTCCGATAATTTAATATATTTTAACAACTGCAAAAAAGGAGCTTGACAACCTTCTGTAGCTTAATTAAATAAATTTATTTTATTTTTATTAATATTTGAAAGCTAAAGAAAAATAAAACTATACTAGTAATGAGAATTTTTTTAATTTCTTTCATTTTCCTAAGTGCAATTTTTCAAACCTCTTGCTTTCCTGATGGTCGTCCTGAGGGCCGTGGTGGACATGAATCAGTCCAAGTAGAAGATAAATTATACTTCATGGGTGGCTCTCGTTTAATCCCATCATCAAATCCAAAACAATATAACTTATCAGATGAAATGTTTTACTTAGATCTTTCAACACAATTTGATACTGAAAATCCACCATTTACAGATCTTACCGATGTTACTTCACGAATGCTTTATGGAAACGAAAAAGGTTGATATTAATTTTGAATAATTTATTCTAAATTCCGTTAGCTACAAGCATTCTTTTTGTATATTCATAAAATTTAATATGTAAATTAGGTGCTGCAGTTCTTGGGGGACTTAATAAATCTAATATATATTTAATCGGTGGAACACAGGTGAATCTATCTACCATAAATTGGAATGTTACGAACCAAATAATAAATTGGAACGTAACAGACCAATTTATTTACATTTATAAAACCAAAACTGTCTCTTTAGGATGGGGAAATCTTGAACAGGGAGTTAAAGGAACTCAACCTTCAAGACGTAGATCAACTTCGACAGTGATAAACTCCAATGGAACAATTTATATATTTGGTGGGAGAGTAGAACTAGATATGGGGTCAAGCACCCTTATATTATATAATGATTTGTATCAATTTGATACAATTTTATTATCTTGGAATCAAATAATAGCACCAAATGCACCTTCACCCCGAAGCCATAGCACCGCAACATTGCTTCCGGGTGGAAAAATCATTTATATTGGCGGCGTCTCTCAGGATACTCCTGGAAGTCAAACTAATTTACTTAACATGTTAGAGGTAAATTATTGTTATCATATAAATATTATTATTATTATTATCTATAGCATGTTTATTTAATTTATTACCATAGATCCAAATTTTTGATACAGCTTCTTTATCCTGGTCAAATCATGTATGTATTTTCTTTGCAATTAATCCTTAATTCATTAGCATACAGTATCCACATATGCCTAAGTTATATTTATTATAGACTGCAAGCTCTTCATTTTTAATACAACCTCGAGTTGGTCATTCATCAGTATTAACTCCAGATAATAATTCAATTATAATAATGGGCGGGACTTCAAGTTATCAATTAAATCAAACAACAGTTTTTCCAAGTTTACTAAAATTGGATGTTAAGTCTGAACCCTATAAATATTCTATATTACAACCCTCTGGAACAAATAAACCACCTCCACTATCATTTCATACTGCTAATGTTTATTCAGATTATATGATAGTTGCTTTTGGTTATTATCATTATTATTATGTTTATTTTATGTTGATCAAATGTTAGCATAATTAACATTTTCTTTTTTGAAAATAGGGAATATAACGAATAATGTAACTGATTCAAATGAAACCAGTTCAAAGATTTATTTATTATACATTCCATGCTTTACTTGGGAATCTACTTTTACTCCTGGTAGATCTGACTGTAAGGATACCCATCCTGAAGATAAAAAGAATAATGTATTAATTATTGTAATAATTATCACTGCTTGCTTATTTTTTCTGATGGGTATCTGCGCAATAGTATGGTTTATACGCAGTAAAGGAAGGTGGAAAAATAAGACTTTGAGAGAGTCGAAGACAAAATTTTGAATTGCTATAGTAGTTTTCGTAGAGAAAAAAACTTATAATATTAAATGTGGAAGCGTAAGTGAACCGGATCAACCATTTTAATAACTAATCCTAAGTGATAGCAAATTTTTACATAATTATATATATACGTAGGCAGTATGATAAGTCTTATCAGTAGATCTATATCTTGATCATTTTTAAAGATATAGGTTTAAGTTTTATATATATAAATATAGTGTTTATAATAAATTTGTAAAAAACTTTTTAGCTAGTTTTAATTAGTTAGTTGTTGAAAAATTTTATTTTAAAATTTATTAACTTAACCAATTGAAATTTATTAATATAAAAATTTAAATTAAATTATTTGTATTAAAAATTTTTATATAATAAAAAAAATTATACAATTAATATAATAATCTATATTTATATAATTAAAATTTATATAAATAAATTTTATTTATAATTATTTAAAGTGATTTTATTGTAGATTAAATATTTACTATATATAATAATTTATTTACTAAATTTAGTAATAAAATTTATATATATAATAATTTTTAATTTTTTGTTGTTTTAAATAAATTTAATAATTTATTTAAAAATAGAATAGTTATAAAAAATAATTTTTGCAAAATTTTTATTATTATTAGTAAAATTTGTAAAAATATTAAAAAATAAAAAAAATAAAGCTTTGTAAAATATATTCAAATAAAGAAAAATTTTAAATTATAAATTTTTTAAATTTTAATACTTCAATCTAAAAATAAATTACATATTTAAAAACTACATAATTAATTTTAATATTGTTTAAATTTTTAAAAAAATTAATTAAATTTTAATTTTTTTCATATATACTTAAGATAAAGTTTAATTAATTTTTATATAAAAAATTTTGCAATATTTTTTATATACGAAATTAAAAATTCAATATTTTAAAAACTATCTGATAAAAATAGCTAAAAATTTTTTTACATATTTATCATAACCTTCTTATTTATATATAAATATTTTAAAACTATATCTTTAAAAATAATCAAGATATTGATTTACTGACAAGACTTATTATACCGTCCATGTAAAATAACAATGTCATTTATTATAAAAAAAATTTATACAAAACCATGGCAAAATGACAAGTTATAAAAAATATTTTTATAAATGACATTAAAATGACAAATAAATGATAATAATATTAATACTAAAATATTAATATTAAATCTTTAGCCAAAAAGTATATTTATAATTATTTACAATTAGGAATAGGTTTGGCTATAAATAGCTATGATTATTCATAGCCAATTTACCAAATACTAAAATGATTTTTTATTTTTGAGTTTTCATTAAAGTTGTTCGGAATTTAATTCTGGACAATTTTATAGTTGAAGTCATATTTTTCTTGGCACACCATTCATTATTGTATTAATTAGTATACATTAAGAAAGTACAGAGCAATATAAAGAATGCTCATAGTCAGTCATTTAAAACAAAAGTGTTCATGAATCTTTGTTAGAAATTAATATTTTTTAGAGAGATAAAAATCAAATCTAGAATTATGAATGTCAAATTAAACAGTACATTTGGCAATTTATATTTATTTAGTCTAAAATATAATTAACAATAAATGTGATTATCATTTGAACCCTTATGTATTATACTGCAACTTAATTTTAATTAATTTAATCAAGTGAGCTTAATATTATTTACTAAACCTGTTCCTTCACTTCATCAATACTTCTTTGTAGACACAATACTTTATCCATGACTGAAATATAACAACTTCCTTTACTGTTACCAATTTAATTATGAATATAATAACTACATTGTAGATCTGCAGCTTGGGCATTTATGTTAATTGTTAATTGCTTTTGAAATAATAAGAATATAGAGCAAATTAGAATAATTAGAAATTTAAAACATCTAAAAACAAACTTTATTTAAACTATAGAAAATAACTTTGATCAAACAGTAAAAAAAAATAATAAAATCTTTCACTACGGACTTTGATGATCATTGATTATTTATTCACAAAACTAGTAAATTTACTGTGCATTATCTTAAATCTAAAAATACTTTTAAACAATAAGCACTAGAGGAATGTTATTCTATATTATTTATATTATTGCAGTATTACAGTTTTTAATACATTACTGTAATAGCATTATAATATTTAAATACAACAGCATTATAGTATTTCAATATTATGGTATTATGGTATTATGACATCACAGCATTATGGCATTACGGTATTGTGGCATTACCTGTTACAGCATTGTGGTATTATGGCACAAAGTAATTATAGTAAATAATACCTCACATGTCATAATCATATTAATTTGCCAAATTAATTCTACTGACAACACTAGGCTACCTTGCCACTATTCACCTTCACTCACATGTCGCTGGTCTTTAAAATTTATATAAACTATAAATAACAAGTATAGTCATAAAAAAATAAATAAAAAAACTAAAAAACTCTTTCCGTCTATCATCTGTACACAAATTTTCCCAGCTTAATTATTTTAAAAATATCTTATAACTTTATTTTCTACTAAGTTAACCTTAGTTTTG